ATATATATGCGCATGATAGCTTTATTTAAAAAGTCTAATGGATCATGCTTGGAGCCCAATCTCAGTAATCTACAAGTGATGTAGTTTTGGAAAAGGACGTGGCTGCCTTATTTTGTAAGAAGCTCGTTTTTTCCTCATGCTTACTCTTCAGTTTTAATAACATCTCCTATTGCAGGTTTTATGTACCTGTAACTCACAGCTCCACTCCTCTTGCGCACAACAACTTATTACTGAGGTGATCGCTGCTGCTGCTGTGTGTCGCTGGCTTTTTCATCTGCGATTCTTGTTATTTTGTCCAAGTAACAGGTTCAATATGACTTATGCTCTCGTCAGTATCTGTCAACATGTGTGCATATAAGCTTCTTATGGGCCAGGGAATAATAAATCTGTCCTGACTCATCGAAACCTGCTGGGATGGAGACACCCAAACCCACACACTCACACTCACACAATCTGTCCCAAACTGTCGTGTTAAACCGGTGATATCAGGGCAAAAATAGGACAGTGTCAAAACTGGTGCCAGGGAAGAAGATTACCACTGAATGTTATGCAACTCCTGACATTAGCTGCAAATGTTATCTATGCAGATAACGTCAGCTAGGTCAAATCAGTCAAATGAGGTGTGTTATTCGTGTGGTGCGAACGCTAGGACCCGAGTTGCTGGTTTTCTCCCCTGTCACAGCAAAGCACCCACACAGTTCAAAATAAAAGACCACTTGTTGATAGGTAACGTTTGCTAGTTTCGTCACCGTCAACACAGGCTGGACGTCTTTTTCCCCTCGAGACTTGCAAGTCTCGAGCTATAGCTTCGAAGCTACGTTTAGCGCGAGCGCAAACATCCGCGTACACCAACAAATCAAAGCAGTCTGTTATTTTGCTAACTCTAAGTTAGCACTTAGCTAACCTGGCGTTAGCTTTGCCTGCTAACATTACCTCGCTCGCGGAGCCCGCTGAATTTCCGAGTCGTCGAGCCGCATCGAAATATTCCCCAAACATTTCCGGAGGGCTTTCTATGCGACCATAGCTCAGGAAACAAGTTTCAAACAGAACGTCAAGCAAATGCCTGAACATCAAACACATTAAACTGTATTTGGCTCCCACTGACGAGATATCCTCTGAACAGGAAATAATGTCGCGTTCAACGTCCCTCGTACACTTCCAGTTCAGTGAATTATCCGCCTTCAACTGCTTCAGTGTGCTGGCGGCACTAGATTTTTTTTTATTGGTAAAACCTGAGCATCAAACGCATTTGAGTTACGAAACTAGTGTAAGAATAGTCGCTTTTCTTGCTGGATATGCATTTAATGTTAGCAGTGTTATTATTAAATCGGCTTAAAAGTTATACCGTGCAATCTTCAATGTTTTCACCTGCTTTTGGTTGCAAAAAATCCTGCTCTACCAAAAGCACGTTAATGCGTCATTAAACTCACGCTGAGCTCACTTCCTTTGTCGTTATTTGTTTATTGCAGGTGTGTCAAAGTCATTGTAGTTAATTTATATATTCTGTAGCTAAACAACAATAATACTTTACTTACTTGTGATTTAAACAACTTCAGCAGTGGAAATGACACGTTTCTACTCACAGTTCGCAGTACTGCTGGTATCCCCACAGCAGAAATCGCAAGGCAATTGCATGAAAAAAGGGATTGTGTCCACTCAGTTTTTACACATACTTGTAGCCTTCACCAGCTCGTTTTGACCGTTGGTGTCACGTTATTGTTTTACCTAAAAGTTCCAAATAGCAGTGGGCTTCTTCTGTGTAGTAGTCAACGTATTGCTCTTACAGATAATAACATAAGTCCAAATCAAATTTGATAAGAAATGAAAACAAAAGTCTCGTAACATTGAGTCTGTAATACAGACTTTTTTCACACAGCGCCATGTAGGTTTGGATTTTTTCCTCTTAATAAACAGCTTCATGTAGAAGCGTTATCTTGTCTTATCTTTGTCTAATATTTACATTTGTTTGGTGATCTGAAACATTTATGTGTGACAGACATACAAAAAAAAAAAAAAAAGAAATCAGAAATCCAGACAGGAGCAAACACTTTTTCACATCACTGTATATTCCCTAGTTTCTTATGGAATTGTACTGCTGAGTGATATTGCAGTTCCTTTAGCTAATGCACTGCCAAGTTATTAAATCTAATAGCAAAAAAAAGTGAGAATGTGGAAGCAGAGTCATACTGTTCACAACTGCAGACTTAAACCCTACGCAGTGTTCCCCTTATTACCTGCAGGGTACCAAAGTGGGTTTTTCACTCTCTCTCTTACATACTTTCTGTTTAATACTTGGTCATTTGTTTGTTTTGTGCTACTACAAAATAAATAATCCCATTTGGGGACATTTAAGCTATTTGAGGCTGTAATCTTAATTTCAAGCTATTTTACAAAGATATAAGTTAAGGACTTTTCACTAAAATATATATAAAAATATTATTTATTTCACAAGCTGAGAATAACTTCAAAGATTTAAAAACCCTGTGTCACTGGAATAATCTGCTTGAGTCTGTCACAACTGTAATTGCATTCAAATTCGAAATGAAAACTCTCAGAATAGTTACAATGTGTCTCTGATTTATGTTTGTGGGACTGTTTTAAAAAACAAATAAATTCTTATTTGTGGAGTGGGTACTTTATCATCTGTTTAACACATATTGTGTAATAAAGTGTACCATTTAAATGGTCTCTTTATTCAAATCGAATTTCAATTAAAGACTACAATATAAGAGAGAGCAAGTACTTGGCAACAGTGGGGAGGAAGAACTTTACAGTGACATCCAGACACTGGTGTTGGGAAATTTTAATGGCCTATATTCCGTGGTCTATGAAATCTTCAGAGAGAGAGAGTGTGTCGTTATATATACAGAGATGCAAACAGGAACCAGGACAACAGCAGCCCCCAAGAGTACCAAAGACAACTGTACGCCCATCCCAGCAGGAGAAGGAGGGAGGCCCTAGATGGGGTGCCCAGTGCCAAAGAGTCCCAGAGGACCGGAGGTAACGGGAAGTCGACCCCGCTAGAGGCTGATCACCCTGGTACGAGGGGGCAAATACTTTTTCGCAGCACTGCATGTATTTGACACATGGACTGGCTATTCACAGTGTGAATAGCCAGTCCATGTGTCCAGTGTGTGCGGGCCTTCAACCGAGCCACATGCATATGATGTTAGGCAACAGAAAGAATGCTGATCAGCTGAAAAGTGGACATGAGCAGCAAAGGAAGTGACAGCAGAATTTACCAAGAAGAGGAAGTTGAAAAATAGATTATATAATAGAAAAGATTAAAAAAAAGAAGCACAGAACGTTGCTGCTGTGGGCAGTTTTTCCTGTTTTTAACACTCAAATAAATATCCATGGCAGTCTGAACATAAGTCCTGCTGATCTACTCCAGCCATCTCTTTAAGAGTGGTCTGAAAAAGAGAAATTATCCATTGAGGTCAGAAGAGAATGGCTTATTTTCAGCCGACAGGAAGTGAAATAAATCCTCATTACAACCAAGATATGCAAAACATCTCTGAACCCACGACATCTACAAGCTTGAAGAAGATAGGCCACAGTGAAAAACACCAGGCCACTGTCACTCCTGTCAGCTAAGATCTAGAAACTGAGACAGTAATTCATACGAACTCTCAATCAACATTAAATGGCAGCCAGGGCTAAAGAATCTTGATTTTGGCAGACAAAACATAAAGTACTCATTTCATCCAGCCTTGTATCAACAATTCAGGCAGCTGGTGGTGTAATGATGTGCAGGATATTTTCATGACACACTCTGGGCCTCTTAGTACCAACTGAGCATCATTTAAGTACCACAGCCTACCTGAGTATTGTTGCTGGCCATCCACAGTGTCGCTGTTTCAGCAGGGTGGATGCAGACATCATGTCACAAACCTTAGATTATCTTAAACTGGTTTCTTGAACATAACACTGAATTTAATGTACTCAAATAGCCCTTTGGGATGTGAGGACATGTGAGAATCACACATGTGAGCAATAGCACATGTGTGATTCTGTGATTATTATGCACCAAAATCTCTGAGGAAAACTTTCAACCTCTTATTGAAACTGTGCCATGAAGAACTAAGCCAATTATAGGTACAAGCAGATCCAGCCCAGTTCTAGCAAGGTGTACCAAAAAAAGAGTTGATTGAGTCAAAATATTACAATTTAAATATATTTTGTGTGTATACAAATTATACAAAAAGCAATTTGTAAAAGAAAAACCCATGTTAAACGTCATTTTGGATTTTCCATCAGCACAGAACATCATTAGCAACAAAAAACAATCTAACCTCCACGTCCAGAAGCTGCATGTTGTCAGATTAACCACCAAGTGGCAGCGTATGCTAACAGTCACAGTAGCATCAGTGAGCCCTGTGCAGATTCTAGTCTTGTTATTGTGGACATTCATCTGTTATTATCTGATGTTGTCAGAAAGCAAACATACTGCTAAATGTAGCCAAACTGCATTAAAAAAAAAACTGAGAAAAAACAGGTTAGGTTATGTATTATTAAAAAAAAATAAATTAATAACAATTTAAAAAACAAAACAGCATTATGTTACTACACGAAAAAAAAAGTCTGAGCTGTTGTATACACCTCAGGCTGGAGAGTGAGAGTGCAGAATAAGACCCGACTGGCACATTTAGCTAAAACAAATACCAGCATTATTCAGACATAAATGCAAAGCAGTCGAAGACCAGAGGGTGATTATTTATAGAGTGGTGGAGCTGGATTGACTTGGCGGATGAGTGACTCATTCGCAGTTGAAGTAGAAATCTGCTCTATATGAATTGCCCTAATTAATATCTTGTGTAGGATTTCAATAACCTCATATTTCTGGATGTCAGAAAAAGGCTTGTCTGTCAGTGAGAGTCTAAGGGCTTTGAAGGCATGACAAAATCAGTTGTAATGAGTTTTGTGTTTTATTTTTGGTCCCTGTCACATTAGTCAGTGTGAACATCTAGATTTCAGGAGTAAGACTGCTGAATTCCACAGAAGCCTTACATTCTTTTAACATTTGGCACTGAAGCAAACCCAGCTTTTATTATTAAATATATTTTTGTCACTAGAGGGCAGTGGAAAAGGCAAAGGTCTACAGTTGTTGTGGTAAATGGTCTTGTGCTTTTCTACCCCCAACTGAACACTCAGAACTTTTTGCTACAAGCTTCATTCACCCAATCACACACCTTCGTGCTTTTAAGCACTTTGATCTAATTCAGTTTAATTTATATATTTACAAATTACAAGAACAGTTACCTCAAGGTGCTTTATATTGTAAGGTAAAAACCCTGCAATAATACCCCAATAATCAGATGACCCCTATGAGAATTCACCTGGCGACAGTGGGAAGGAAAATCTCCCTTTTAACAGGAAGAAACCTCTGGCAGAACCAGGCTCAGGACAAAAGACATACTGTTCACACAAACAGTCACATTTCAATGAATACATGGGAGAAGGGGGGGGGGGCACTTATGGTTCAGAATCTTGTCCAAAGATACTTTGAAATGTAGACTTGGGGAGCCGGGGATTGAACCACCAAACTTGGCAGACAACCCGCTCTACCACCTGATGACAGACCACCTGAGCCACAGCCAGGTGGTCTGTCATCTCTGTTTGTCTCACTGTAATAAAAGTAATTGCACACCACTGTGTTGGAATAGTCCAATCACAAGCCCCTAGATGGGGTGCTGGTGAGTATTTGTATATGTTCAGAGCAGCTGCCTGCTGCTAAAAGTAAGTAGATATGAGCTGTTTGAGAATCAAAACAGCAATGCTGAAAAGCAGGCTGTAAAATAAAAAACAATGTGCTTAAAGACACTAAAACAAGCTGCAGAGCTCAAGGGATACAATGATGAGAAATGTGTCACTGTAAAGAACATTTCATCACCCAAACTGGGAGGCTATAGGGGTTTTGCAGAAACATGACCGCTTACCACATGACAAGGGTTCCCGTTTTAGCCGGGGCTATTGTGCTTGTGTCCAGTCACAGCCATCAGTGATGGCCCATCATGCACATCAGATGTGAGGATGTGCACCAGATGTGTGATTCATAAAAATAAGGTGCCGTTTGGTCCCAGTTGCATAATAAACTGGGTGACTGAAGCTCCTATTTTGTCTTTTTTTTTGCTTATTTTTCAAAGGAAATGCCCATGTGATTTCTGTTATCATTTACTGTATTTTTCCTGCATTGTTTCAGATTAAACTGAATATCAACACTGTACTGCATTTATATTGTACGAATATGAACATACAGTTCCTATTTACACTATTCCTATCTGACTGTGCATTGTGCTTCTGGCAGGCCAGAGTGTCCTTTTTTTGATAGTTAAGAGTTGGCAACCCTACATGTGACATTAACTTGTCGGCCATTTTGGATGTGTAATAATCCTGAAATACGGTTTACTAAACATAGTAAACATATACTCTCTTGGAGGAAGTACATTTTCTTGACAAGCATCTTGCTTGTTATTTGGAAAAACTCGGCAAGGCATATGGATAGCCATAATTTTCCATCAGTGTGTTCTGCTGTTAGCTCCTGTTCACCGGTATTCACGGCTGTTACTGAAACTTTTTTTGAAATGGATTTGACGTTGGCAGACTCGTACTTAGCAAATAAACTCTTGTGATGTGAAAGTGAAATCAGAGGGAAATTAAGTTTTAGGATGCTAGAGGCTAATGTTAGCTTGCATGACTAGCTTGCATGGTTAGCTTGTTACGTTGTCGCTTAGCCATCTCTTGTTACCTGTCCAGAGACGGGAGGGTCACATCTGCTGACAATAACTCATTGCAGTAATATCAAGATTAAATAATTATGTTCATATGAGACTTCTTATGTTAGAACCCTAACGTTAGTTCAGGAGGAAGAGGATGAAATGGAGATGAGAAGGCGAGAATTGTGCTGGAGGAGGCAGACGAAGAAGAAATAATGAAAATATCAACGTAAAAATTTTAAATGGTACATGTTGTTTGAAACAGATACTGGTTATTTAAAAAATTCAACCAACCCATAATTGTTATACTGTTATACTATTTATCTGATGCCTTTATTCATTAATTAGTTTTTTTTTCTCGTATTCTTCTATCTAAAAAACATGATTAGAAAAAGATTTTCCCTCTGTCCTTGATTGTCTTTGATGATTACTGCACCTAACCCCGCAGCATGTAGGCGTTGTGAGGGAAAAGTAGTGATAATTTCTACGTAAACAACGGATTAGTGATGATTACATCCAACATGGCAGACAGGTCTTGAGTGACGTGCGCCTGACGTCCTCTGTATGTAACGCCTCTGTATGATTTCAGAATCTGCAAAACGTATTATTAATATCACAGTTGAAATTATCCTTATTATCTAGGTTTGATTAGTTAGCTGCATATTGTTTGTAGTATTCAGATCACTGACTTTCACTTGTGTTGTCTATTTTTCACACATCCTCTTAAATTACACAGTTGTTAAACACTAATCTTTCCTTAAGCTGTGTTTTTATCCCAACATGGATTCTATTTAGTTTCCACCTAGGCTGGGTGATGAATGAAAGAAGGTAAGAAGGAATAAAAGGAGTAGTCTTCAACAAAGTTTCTTGTTAACAGTCACAAAGAATTGCTGCAGGCATCTATTGAGATAAACAGAAAGCCTTCTTCTGTGTTCTTCAGCTTCATGTTCTGGTCCCATTTACTGATCATAATAAATCTATAGCTTTTTAAAGGCCAAACTGTTCTGTTTTAAAGAGCAGCGCAGCGCTTTGTCCTACAGTAACCTCTGGTCATGACTGTTGTCGACTACTCTTATTACATTACAGCTTGTGGGCACATTTCATTTCTAACAGGAAACTCCCTCCTTGCTTCTCTCCTCCTCTTCAGCCCTACGTTCTTGCCAGATGCCTGCCTACAGTTTAGGAATCAAAACAGGACTCAGATGATCAGCATTTTTATGACTGCGTATTCAGGCCACATTAGCAAAAGTGTCCAAGAGCAGAGCAGGAAAGGAGGAAACTGTTTTTTTTTTTTTTTTGCTTTGAAGCTGGTCCCAGTTCCTTCCAGGTGTTCCCCTCCCATTCCCCATGCAGTCAAGCACAGCTAGAAAACACTGACAGCCAAAACATGATATGTGTAGAGAGCTGTAGCTTCCTCTTAGCTTTGTAGATTACCGAAGTGAGAGGTGGTGCAGCATGCAGCAGGATTCAGAGTACTGGAAAGTAATTACAGGATTGAAACCTGCCTGCTGCTTTTTTTTAAAGCCAGATTTGCTGTGCTGTAATCCCTGCTGTCATTTAGCACTGCAGGAAATTCAGATTGGTGTCACTTCTATGAGACAATCTCTGGTATTATCAGAGAGCAGGTGACTACAGAGAAATGAAAGGAGAGAAGCTGGTAAATTTGCCTGCCAGTACCGCAAAACTGTCGATATTTGAAGATTCATGTTTCTTTCTTCCAAGATTTGTTGGGGAATGTTGTACATCTGTTACTATCCTTTTTCAATCACTGTTTCTGCATGTGTATTTTTATATTGATGCTAATGTTTCCTTGGACTTGACAATTTTTTGCTGTGTTTCTTGTTGTTTCTTTTGATGTGAATCAATGAATGTTAGACGAGTCAAATGGAGTCTACTCATAACAGACCTTTGCATGGACACCGGACACAAAGTGAAATTAGCATTCAATTTGACATGTGATTCTGGCCAAATGGTGAATTAAAGTCAAACTTGTTTCCTATTTACTTATTTGTCTTCAACAAGAACATAAAAAGTCTCATTTAGTGCCAGTAAATAGATATATCAGACTATTCATGTAAGCTGGGACCCAAAACAAAAACCCCAAGAAGACAGCTCCAAATAGCCCCTTAGCTTTTTTAAGATACCTTTGTTTCCCACAGTGCATTCGAAACTATCACTAAGAACAGTACTCAAGATTTCTGGTTTCTGTACTGTACACTGTACACAGATATTTCACACTATAAGCTTGTTATAAAAAGACTGAGTGTGAATAAAAATACTTTCACACCATTTCTATACTTGTTATTTTCTCACATGCTGGTACATTGTCACTGTAAACCTCATAGCAAATGTTGATCTATGTCTGCCTAACAAGCATTACTAGAATAACAACATAGCAAAAGGATTAGTGTTTTTCTTTTTTCTTTTTTTTAATTTTATTTCTGCAAATAGGAAAATAGCATTTCTGGTATTCAAAAAAAAACAAACAAACAAAAACAAAACAAAAAGAAAATATCGCCTGTGCTCAGGCATCACAGAGAGAGAGAGAATTGGATGATGATGATTAGGGAATACAGGTCTGGATGTAGGTCAGTAGAAGCAGCCTGGGGAGGCTCAGACACAAAGACAGCACTGGTTCAGACAGATAAACACGTCTGCCCGTCTGTTTCTACGCTACAGAGCATGGCTGCTTGGAAAGAATGAAACCTAGGGTTTCCAGAATGCTAAGAATCACAGATATAAGAACGATTGCTGTGTAAATAAGTGCTCTATTTTTGCGCTCATCCATAAGCACCAGTGTTGCTCCAGCTAAAGTTAAGACTGCCGGTAGCCTGCAGTTTGTAGTTATAAGTGCCTGTTCAACAGAGATAATCCAGCTATGTGAGGTGTTACGCTTGTAATTACAGCCTATTTTGTGAAGCACCGGTAGGTTAACAAGCACCACAATGTTGAGATCTAATAACACACGGTAATACCGACCGCCACGGGCAGTCGAACCTTCCTTACAAAAATTGCTTCACTATTTTTTTTTCGCATTTTGCTGTTCCAGTGCATTTTATGGAACTGCCATAAGAGCAGGAGTGTTTTCTGACTGTTTCTCACTTTTCACTAGCACAAGTGCACTTGAGACCAGCAGACTCAGCTTAATGGTTTATGTGAACGGGTAGAGCGGGACTCCAAATCCCAGAGCATAATCAGTCCGACATTCCACAGACTGATCGCGCTACAATCAAACTCACATAACAGACTGAAAACCTCTCCAGGAACACCACTGAATAGCTTAATGCGCTGATTGAAAATCCTTGGATTTCAAAACAAACAAACATCTATATAAAGGCTACAAGCTGTACACGTCATCTGTGTCCTTAATATTCAGTACACATTATATTGAATATGCTAATACAAATGATTGGATAGATGTTAGCTGCCTTTCCAGCTATTCATACTATTAGCTTTTCTTGCTGCTATAACCAAAAAAATAAACATTTACAGTAAGTGCTACTGTAAATTTAAAAAAAGAGCAAAGTTTCACATCACTGTTGCACCTTATAGGCCCATAACTACTTTGTGTGTGTGTGTGTGCGTGTATGTTTTTTAAGCCACATCAGTGGGCTGCACAATGATTTCCAGAGAACAAAGAGCTTATAAACCGTATAAACGAAGGTGTCATTTTCATCCTCCCACAGAGGGCCAAAACAGGGATTTCAGGTTTGGCAACCCCGTGTTCAGAGTCACAGTTAAATAAGAGCAGTCATATGATAACAGCAGGCTCAACAGAGGTTTTGTGAGATGGACAAAGGCATCGATAAAGAGATTAGGACATACTGGGACTGAGAAAAGGCATACAGGTCCAAAGCATTTTGGATCACGACTGGATGAATGCGATCAAGGCCAGAGGTGTGGTCCAGAAAACAGAGAGTTTTGCTCAACTTGGCCAAATTATCGGGGACACCACCAGTTCAATACGACTAAACTATCTCTGCTGTGAGGAGCCTCGGCATCCCTCTGAAAGTACTTTCAGAAGAATTCAGAAATTGGGAGCGGGTTTCCGAACTCTCTCGCGCGTATCGCGTTAACGATTAGAACACATAAGTGCAACAACGGAAGCTTCATCTGAACCATTTGAACCCTGAAGTTTACCTTTGAGGAAGCAAATCGATTGCAAAAGTAGAAAAAAAAGATTCTATAATTACAGATGCTCCCATTACTGATTAGCACTCTACTTCCCACAGCACCTGGCAGCTTGGTATCTGGAGCAGTGGGGCACGCAGTGGTTACAAGAGGAGCCCTTATAAGAATGTCTGCTGCTCTGCATTCTGCCACGCATGAGTGCGCAAAGGCCAGGAAATCCACTTTGAGCTGACTTTTTCCTGAGGTGGCTGCTAGCTCGGTACAATATGAGCAGCTCACAAGGAGCACTGAAGGTAAAACAGAGGGGAGGAAGAGACGGGACAGAAACTTTGAAGTGAAACGGCAGCCAACTCCCGAGATTCTTCTGAAAGTCCAGCTCGTAAAGCACCAAAAGTCCTGAGGAGGCCCGGACCCTCACCGCACTGCCCAAATCGAAGCTGGGCAAGGGAGGCACAGCAGGTGTGGGTGGGTGGATGCTGGGCAGGGGTCAGGTCAGCTGAGGGTATCACACGGTGGCTCTGATAATCCTGCTGGGCCTGGAGCTGCGGTGGACCTTTGTGTGCTTGGAGAGGTGGTCGCTGCGGGCAAACTTCTTCTCACACAGTGAGCACTCGTAAGGCTTGACGCCCGAGTGAGAGCGGCGGTGACGAGACAGTTCGTCGGAGCGGGAGAACCTGGAGACACAAGAACAGAGGGGTGGTGTTATCCACAGCTAGAAGGAGGTTTAGAGACACACCAGCTAACATATCCATTAATCGGGACATACCAAATCCCTTCCTCCCAATGATGGATAAGATTACACAAATTAATATTGGATTTATTATATGAATCAAATCCATTCTCATGTTTTGCAGTTAAAGATGAGATATTTGTAGAACTTCTGCCAGCAGATCTCCTGTGTGGGAGATACAGTAAAGGTTCAGGAACTTCTGGGGCCGAGCGTGCTGATTGGCCAAATGTTTTTGTGCTTTTGTAAGTTTTTTGTTTTTTTTAAAACCTGCAGGTCATTTTTAGCATTCACAGAATAAAAGTGGGAACTGTGGCATAAAGAGAAGGATTTATCTTGTAATTGCTCACAGTCTGTCATTTAGTCCTGTAACAGAGAGAGTAGAACAGCTAAGAAGTGACTATTATCTTCACAGAGCTTCAAACTTAGATAAGGAGTTAAAACAAGTCTCAGTCCCTTTGGAAGTCCCTGACATCAATCCTCAAAACTAAAAGGCATTAAAAGTCTTTAATGACACAAACGTAATCACCGTTCCTTATTAAGACTGAATAAGCTGGCAATGGGTAACAGGAGACTGAGAGGCTGAAATCAATATTTAGCAGATGAAAATGAGAAAATGATCATATGAAACAGTTTCCGCACGCTCAGTTACAAATGATTCTTTATTAATATGAAGCACTCCAGTGCGTTAACAGCCCTGGAAAAATCAGATTTTTTTACCTCACCAATCATTTAAGGCACCACTTCAGCAGCTGAGGAAGGCCTTGTGCAGACACTGTAGCACAGGCTCAAACACCCCTCTCTCTTCATATCAGTGAGACCACCCGGGGAGACCAACGTTTCATGTTTAATAACTACCATCTCAGTCTCATCGGTGGTCACCATCACATCTCAGCTCACCTCACAGGTACTTTTCAACCACCTTTGCCCCGCCCTAAAACACACAATATCATAATAATGTATGTATGTTCCCTATCTTACAGTTAACTGAACGCCGAATGGTGACCTTACAACTGCGTTCACCATGCGCATGCTTGTTGACGTTTCATGCACATTTGGTACGTTCATCTATTTTGTTGATGTTCTACATTTGTTAACGGTTTTTATCTTCGACAAAATAAGCCAGTGTAAAAATGCTTAAAAGTGCAGCAGAGCAGGCGACATCAGCATGAAGATAAGATCCCGAAGGCTGGGTGAGCATAATCATATCATGAGACACTTTCTGAAGCAACCTGCTGGGTATTAAATCCTCAATATCTATTTGATTATTTACGTTATTCATATTATTTTGATGTATTCCAAATTTCAAAAAGTTTCATTGTTCATAATTTGTTATATTTTTACTAAACTACATGCAGGTCTTTGCTAGCTTTTTAGATTTTTTCGTCAAGACGTCAAGATGAACGTAATATAAAGAATCTAACATCATGCTGTTTTGAGGAATACTTGAATCTCATAAACTCATGAGCTAAACATTTACTAAGGCCACAGATCAAGTGTTATTTTACTGTGGGCTTCGATATAATCGGACTTCATTTTGCAGCCAGAGGTGCTGCCCCCTACTGACTGTTAGAAGGAAAGCAGGTTTTAGCCACCTCAATACTGGCTTCACTTCCCAGAACTGGAAGCTTCACACATCTTTTAAGTAAACTGTTTTTACATGAAGGTATTCATATAAAGTTATGCTAATTTACGTGCATAATATTGTCAATTGACAAAATAGCTTTGACAATTGACTGCTGTTTACCATCAAACCTTTGGAGCCAAAGGGGAAAAAACACTAGACAAAAAGCACTTCTAGACACAAAGCTTAATGGGCTGTTAACCAGGAAGATGCTTTGTTAAACTCGTAAAGTATAACCGAGATGGAAACTGAAATTCTTTGTTGCTATGAAAGTATTCTGTGGATGCATAACAAACCCTTGTGAATAAAGGAGCAGCTGAAATTGTTTATTCTTCTTCCGTTTCCTCATATTGTAATAAACGTACCGTGGCGTGTTTGTGCAAGGTCTGTTGCTCTAACTAGTCTTCCTGGATCAGGCCATCTGCTTAATCAGTGCCAACAATCAATCATGGGGAAAAACCCCTAAAACCTCATCTTAACTGTTAAACCTGCTACAGTCTGCATCATGTTCCGTACCTCCACCCACACTCGGGCCAGCTACACGTGTAGGGTTTCTCTCCTGTGTGACGGCGGAAGTGAGCTTTCAGGTGGCTGCTTTTGGTGTACATCTTCCCACAGCCTGGGTGGGAGCACTTGTGGACCCTTTCAGTAGGTGGCACCCTCGTCATCCGAGGAGCCATTGCTTTTAGCACACTGCCTCCATGGGCCCCGACCCCAGTCAAGCCTGTGATCTCCAGAGTCCTCATAGTGATTGGCAGAGGGGCGATCTTTACATACTTCTGGTCAGTTGGCTTGTTATCACCACTGTTTAGTGATAACAGAGTGGTGTGGGTGGAGGGCACCTGGGGAGCCAGCAGGGTTACATTTTGTCCTGTAGCACCTTGAAGCCCCATTACCACATGGGTGAGCAAAATCCCACTTTGGGCCCCTGCAGGAGAGCCTGCTGGATTCTGGGCCTGGGCCAACGGAAGAGGCTGGAGTTGGAGCACCAAAGGAGCACCCAGGAGCACCGGTGGGGACAAGGTGGGTGGTGAGGGGTTAACTTGGGCACAAGAAGAAGGGTCAGCTGGAATGGGGCTATTTCTCCCGCCTTGAGTGGCATCTGAGCTAGACGTGCATTGGGAGGCATCAGTCTTTGGATCATTGATAGTCTCTGAGGAAGCAACCGGGAGAGCGGAGGCAGGTGGAGGGTCAGCGGAGCTGCATGGTTGAGGGGAGGCCTCCTCCTTTGGAACAACCATCCCATCTTTGACTATTTCCATCTTTTCCCTCAAAAACTCTTCGATGTCCTCCAAGGTTGGGGAGAACGGGGAACAGGGGTGGAACGAGAATTCAGGCAGCTTAGGCTCCTGACTGGCAGCTTCCCCTTCTCCCAATTCTCCCAAGAAAATATGGAGACGCTTTTCTCCATCCTCATCCTCCTCCTCTTCTTCATCTTCCTCATCCTCTCCTGGGCTGGAGCTGTGCAGAACCTCCACTTCCCTGGCTTCTGGGCTGTTGCAGGAGGCCGAACTGCCCCCCTGGCTGCGGTCTCCGTCCCCGAGGTCAAGGGAGAAGAGGCTGCTGCTGTCCCTGAACAGGTCATTTTCCAAACTCAGCATTCTGCTGCTGAGAGACACCATTGATCCTGTCCGAACGCTGCAGAAGGGATGTAGAGGAAACTCGATCCAGAAGAAGAGACAGAAAGACCTGCAAAGGCAGCAGTGAGACCAGATTTTATTACCCAGCAGAAAGTAAAAAGGCAGGAGGGCCTGAGGACCTCAATGACTCGATTATTGACTTCAAAATAAATATAGTCGATGCATTTGGCAACAAAAACCATTTTCTCCTTCAGTTTTTCTCCTTAATATTCAAGTCAAAGTTATATTGTAAACTCTGATTATGTCAGAGGGTTAAAACTAATACTGGAACACAGAAAAAGAAATGAGCAAATACTCTAATGATGCGCTGAATTAGACAAAGACTCATATATCAGTCAACCAGATCACACACATATCTGTATAAACGTACCAGGTGGTCCAATATCGATAATATCTAGAAAAACATATGCAGGGTAGTTGGGGTAATGGCATCATTTAAAAATTCTCTTTTAATACTGGATGTCCATACATATAACAAGTTTTGGCAGATGAGTGCATGGCATCCTCTCAGTCACACTGTTGCAAAACTTTTCATGCATAGCATCATATTAGGACCCCTGCGGACAGCTGGGTCTAAGCCCCCCGAACCAATACACTGTTGGAGTTTACCGATCTATCTTATTAGCAGTTTTTAGACATATAAGAGTCTTGAAAAATCTCTGTGGTGATATTTTATGACTTTATACTTTTTTAACAAATGTCCTCGGGATGAGCTGAATGATTTGCTGCTGCATGCAAACAAGGTTAAACATGATTGGGTGCTCTCCCGCTGGTACATGCATACTTTCTGGGCAGTTTATTTCCTGCTTCTGTGAAGAGAAAAGTAAGAATGTATGAGCAGGAGTGTGAGAATTCCTTGGTGGTGCAATGCAGAGTCTACTCCTAGGTAGTGTAAGTCTCTGGTCCTCACTTGGATAAATAAATACTTTGAGCTCTAATATAACGTTAAACAAGTCAGGTACTAAACGTGGACTCTGACAAAGGGCCCGTGCAGCACGCTGCTACAGCATCAGGGCACAACAAATCTGACTGTCATTGTACTTCAGCAAGGTTACCACCTTTCAACTATCCACTCGAGTGAGAATGTGGGAACCCCAGGGGGTGGGGGGTGGGGGGGTGTTAGTCATTTGGGTTGAGGCGGCCCTTTAAATAGAGGCGCTGCTGTACATTTATAGTATTACTAAGTATCAATACCAAATTTTCAGACAGTTGATTGCTCATAAAAGCGTTTTATTTACTCAATGAATGCCACACACTGGAAATCCTGTTCCTGTGTGAGGATAACTCATCTAACCACAGCAGCTTATAACACAACTAAAACATTTTTATCGTCACCGGGCTATTTCCTGCCCAGTTATTTTAGTGACTAACAAACACGTCTGTTTATACTGCTTAGAATAATCCAGGTAAGGCTACATGTTGCATTTTAGTTATATTTATTTATTTACAAGCATGCCAATAATAAACCACAATAAACCTGTGGCTCCACTCTGTCGCCTTGGAGATGCACATGTCTGGAGATCCAACAGCTAGAAGCAAAAGGGCAGGCTACCAGGGGTGCCACCAATGGGGGTGCTGGGGGGGCACTGGCCACCCCCTCAAAATTTGCTGGTAGTGGCTTCCCATTACAAGACTGTCCTATGTTGGTAATTCTAATAAACGTGAGCACAAGAGAGAGGACGCCACCCTCTTATTTGATTTTCATATGTACCTATTTTCTAACTAGGCATAGAATTCTTCTCTTTTTTCCCCATATTTTTCAAGTAACCTGCATTTGACAACAGCATAATAAAATTGGAAATTATATTTTTGGTGTGCCACCCCAATATTTTTAGTGGCCCCCATATGGCGACCCCTATGAAAAAATTCTGGCAGTGTGTCTGCTGTCAAACCAGGGTTCACATGGACTGAGGCCTCTTCTTTAACGCTACACCACAGGTGCCCTGTAACCACAGGCTGGCTTTTATTTTGTGTGCTTTTGCAGCTTTTATTTTTTAAAGTCATTTCCTAAGCTGCAGTGCATTTGACCTCTCACGTCCATCGCAGTGTTGGTGCTGAAACAGAAAAAGCCTGATATGAACGCTAAACAGTGTAAGAAACAGCAACCCTGTCTAGAGTTATGCAACAAGTGCTGGGACCCCAAAACGCATCGGGACTCAGATTTAATCCGATCGAGGGTCCCCGGGAGTGTGTTTACATCCCCTCACATGTCCGCAGCCCTTATGTTTAAAGCCAGCGTCCTGATCACAATAACCCCGTGTGCTTATGTAAAGGCTGTTTGTGGGTGCTGTCAGAGGGCACATGTGGCAGCAGGGCCTCGCTGCTCGCGCAGAGCACGGCCGCTTGCGCAGGGTAAACAAGGGCCGCACAGACGCGCCCACAAACACGCCAGAGAGCGCGAGCGTCGGATCACCGAGAGAGAAAAGATGGAAAATCCACGGCGCGACTGCCTGAGAAACGAGCGAGCGCTCCTCCGACAGCATGGCAGTACAACTGTGCCCACTCAGACATCCACGAGCCTCAAGTTCGCCTGGGTCATAAAAACTGCTCTATTTATACTCCTCGGTCTTTCCGGAGGAGTCGAGCGGCGCGATCCCGGCGGCTGCTTCGACCTACCGTGCTTCAGAGCGGGGAGAGTGTTCGCGGAGGTGGCGCAGTCCACGGCTCTCCGTGTTTCGCCTTTATTTCTCGTCTCCGTCGTGTTATTGTCGTCGCGCACTCGCGTCCCGTCTTTGCCACGGGTCCATGTTGGCATTTCTTTTCCCAGCGTCACGTGACGGCATCGCTGCACAACTCGGAGGCACGGGTCCCTTTCCGCGCCTTTGATTGGACCAGCGCCGCGGAGGCTCGCCCAAAAAGGAACGCGCTGATTGGCTGCCGCTCAATAAATTCTGACTACCATGTGTTGTTAGAGGGGAAGCTGTGCTGTTTTAACAGGATGCACCGTAGCCAGCAGATGTGCGGGGAAGGAGGTGGAAGTGGGGGTGACGGACACACTGATAAGAGGTCAAGATTAACCTGGGCCATCAGAACAACCTGCAGTTACTGCTAGAGATAAAGCTGCCGTGGAAGCACTGCTACCCACTTGTCTAAGTTCCGTGAAGCGAGAAATCAGGGAGGCACACAGAGCATCTGTTTATATCAAATAGCACAACATCCACCCATAACATGGATAGATGGATGGAACAAACATGCATGTGGACAGCTGGATGAAACCTGTGCAGGAACCAGAAGAACCTGCAGACTCAACACTCAGAGGCTCCAGCCTACCAGAAGATTCAAATCTTCCAGTTGTGGGGCAACAGTGCTCTGAATCACGTGACCGTGATTTACTCCACCTATGAATCTTTTTAGGTAAACTTGACTATCCCCTTCACACGCCATTGGTCCAGAGCAAAAGGAAGAAAGAGCCCGATATTAGAAGTTTCTTTTTAATTTTTCAGTGTTAAAAATAAAACACTATTTAGAAGATTTAGAAGGGTTGTTACCAGTTTGGTAACTAATCCAGTGGAAATGTTGCCTGTGCTTCTGATTTCCAGCCAACCTGAATAACATAGTCGCTAATAGCAACTCGCTATGATTCCTTAAAATCACAGACATGTGTGATGCTTTCACATCTGAGCTCTTGAAGTCCAGGTGTTTATGAGTAAAAAGTGCACGAATTCATCATGAATGTAATGACAGGATACGTGTGACATATGTGCACATTCGAGCAGGTCATTAGCTCCAAATTGACCTGAAATCAGGCAGAACTGTCACACTGTCTCATTCAAAAGAGGACAGAAGAGTAAATCGTGCCTATGTGCGCCGTTGGCTCAGCAAGTTATCATCTTAAATGCGAAAGAATAAGAACTTAAAATCCCCACAGAAGGTCTGCTGGCCAGAGGCATTTGGCATAAACAGATATGCAAAAGGTTCAAACTGCTGCACAAAAAATCACAATGTGGGAAATGAAGCCCCTGATGATCTAAATCTCCTGAGGTAGGACTTCCATTATCCATCATTCACGCTTTCACAGTCGCGTCCTTTTCATTTTCATTCTCCATGTTTTTTAAGTCTAACACAAAGTCTGCACATTTATTTTTCCCCTGTCAGGATGTTTTTTGAACTCAGTCGAATTTGCCATGAAGCTACGAGTGCAGACAGGAAACTGGCTAAACTTGGACTTCAGTTTTCAGAAATTCTGCTTTGGCAGAAGTTACTGCACCTTCGTTTACACGGAAATAACATTTTATTACCACCTTATCTATTTTTTTCCTCAAATTTACATAGATTAGTTATTGTTTCATTAAGGAATAAGCAATTAACTCATTACACAATAGATTATTTATGATTACAGGTGATTTAAAAAAAATGTTGTTATATGCAGGATCTCTAGTGATCCAAAGCATGTATCTGGTTAATGAATTAATGTTTTCGTGTTGTGCATTGAAAATTCGAGAGGGCAAAGTTGTAATTGTCACGCCGACCACACCGGGGCGCTGTTATGCTGCTGAAGAAATACACAACGATACAGAAGTGTGCTTACAGGATTAGTTCTCAACAGCATTTTGTCTGATACTGGAGACTTTTGATTACAACAGTGCTGCTGATGAAGATGTACCTGAGTAGTTAGTTTTGTGTCATCCATGAATCTGGTTAATTAAAAGCATCAGAAGAGGAAGAAACTGACACAGATGTGGATTAACCCTTCTTCTAGAATGCAAACTTTTTCTGTGGAGAACTTCCCTGATTTTTAAAATTAATTTCTGTTGCTGTTGTTTTCTGGGACCATTCTTAGTCTAGGTCTCGTTAACTTGCCAGTAATGATCACAGCACTCTGAATGACTAAGTCTGTCCAATAAGCATCATTAGAGAAGTAAGGGCCGAGCTGTTAGTCAGATTAACTCTGCTGGTACAAACACAGGTTTTCCAGAACACATTTCCAGTGTGAGAAGTCAGAAGATTTCATAGATGGGCAAGCTGTGGCTGAGCTCATGTGGCTGCAGAAAAGCAATGGCTTGCCAGAGGTCAGTAATGATGCAGCGAAAGAGGAATGCGTTTTCACTTTGCAACCTTGCTCAGGCCTCTTCCAGACACCAAAAACTGACTTGCATTTTTGGCTCAGCAGCACTACATCACTTTCTGTGGCTCAAAAACAGTTTCATTACTGGGGTGTTGATATAAAGGATATTAGAGAAGAGGGATTTCCATCCACTACCAGTGTCCACTGATCACTCAGGTGACCCATTACTTCTTAATATTCAAGTCTGTTAAAATATTCACAGCAGAAGTACACTATGACAGGCCTGTGTTGAACTGGGACTGTGTGTCAAACATAGATTTATATTCTGGTATGTTTTCAGTATTTAAGTTTGCGTGTCTTATGGCCATCATGCAAAAACTACAAGACCTACAGTTTCATGAAACTTGGTGGAACTTCTCCAGGTATAATGAGGATCTGGATCACTTCCCAAGTGGCCTTAGTTTTCTTTTATATTGAGTTCATTTTCCTGCTGTAAGGCTGCAATCAACACTTTAAAGATAAATATATCATAAGATACTATTTTCTGTTTTCTTTAACAAAATTATTCATTGATGAAGTCTTTAATTATCAGAAAATAATCTGAAGACCAAATACACATACGCATTTTGAAACACTGACAGTTATTAGTAATATATAATACAATAAACATTATCAATTCAATTTTATTTATATGGAGCCAAATCACAGCTCAAGGTGCTTTATATTGTAAGGTAAAGACCCTACAATAACACAGAAAAGCACAACAATCAGATGGCCCCCTTTGAGCAAGCACTTGGCAACGGTGGGAAGGAAAATCTCCTTTTTAACAGCAAGAAACCTCCAGCAGAACCAGACTCAGTCGTCTACTGCGACTGGTTGGGAGTGAGGGGAGGAAGAGATTAATAATAACATCATAGTTCACGTTTTAAAAGAATTTTAAAGTCAAATGTGTTTGAGCAGTTCAAGCATCTCCTTGTGGAGATGTGAGAGAATCTCGGCACAAAGTGTTGACGTGCTGAGAATGATCTTCATGCTTTGGAGGAACTGATGAAACGCATCCTTCTCACTGCTAGGCAAAACCAAACTTCACACCTTGATTTATACTCCATCAACATGAAAGCTGTAATATTCCACATTATTTTGAGGACATAAAACTTTTATTTAAAAAAAAACTCTTAACATATCAAGATCACATTTGTTAATGCATGTACACTGTTAGAAGAATGAACATATAAAAGTTGACCTACAAGAATACCTTCATGCATTTACACTTCATGCTGTGCAGCTTTTCTGTTGTGCAAAGGGGCCCTCTGGTGGTTTGGAAGGGCTACGGAACTCAGACAGAAGATGAATCTTTACACTAAACGTGACTAAAATGGGAAAATATTAAAGCCAGTAAAACAACACATTTATTCACATGCCATGGCTACATTTCAAAGTAAGACTTTTTAAACCTTCTACCATTCTTTAAACCTATAAGATTCAGAAAACAATTAGGACAACTTAAAAACAAAATCCCCCGAGCAAATTCCCAAATAACCTATAAACTTAGTGCAATTAAGTATCTCAAACAACTCAAACACATGTAAATATAAAAAGAAAAGAAAAATCTCAGTCAGAAGACCCCATCTCTAAATATATCCCAGAAGTATGACACATGCAAAACATGTTTTGCGTCAATAACATTTCCAGCTGAGCATTTTTACATGCAGTTGTGTCATTTTCAAAACTATAACCTCCAATGGTGAAGAATTTATATATATATATGGTGATTAGTACAGCTTTTCCAGCACGCCAGTCAAACACGTGGTGAACTGGGGAATCTGGGCTGCCTCCTGATTAATTGACAACAAATTACATGTCATGTCTACTTCAATAAATTAGGGCCTTATGGCTGAATACAAGATAATGACATGAATAAATACAAGGTACTGGCTCATTGTCCCTTTTAAAGGAATCCTTCAGCTGCACAATTTCCAGACAACTTTGATGAGAAAGATGACATCAGTGCAATATTTCAGCCTCCCTGGTTATACTGGATGCACACGTGGACTCAGAGTAGATAAGACTGCACAGATGTATTGTAAACTCAAGCTCAAGTCAATATTGATCTGTCCACACCCTCTTCTACAACAGAAGGACAGGGAGTGGAGAGTTCATTTTACCATAATATCTCAGCCCATCATGCGTAAGACTACAACCACTACGGCCGCAAACGGCTGGAACACACGGCTCAGAAGGAAGGTATTTTAAACATGCTTTCTAATCACTGGGTAATTAGGTTACATGCTAGCTGTAAATGAATCTCCATAGCAGCCAAGCTGAGCATATGGATGAGGAGACTGCAGCAGAATGCACCACACAAGGAGTGTCAAGGCTCCAGTGTTGTTTCTTAGCAACAGCACACGGCAGGATATCATTCCCTGTCGTTCCCTATCCAAGAATACAAAAAACAAAGTTATTTGATACAGTGTATTCTGTGTGCTGTGTCATTTCACTCACAATAAGAGTGACGGAAACACAGCATTCATGGACCTTATTGTATTAAAAAGACACTACATTTGGCATGTGGTATGATCTTAAAGTGGCAGCATGATTCTTCTATGACTGCTTTATATCCTTGAATGCCTATAAAAACCTGAAGAATGCTCTGTGTTCCCCCACACGAGAACACTCAGGATTCACTGTTTCCAGCACATGACTCTTGTGTCGGCTGATGTTCCTGATGGAGACTCGATCAACACTGGAGGTCAGTGTGGCTGTAGACAACTCTTCTGGCAAAGAGCAAAGCCAGCAGGCTGAAGCAGCAGGCACAGGCCATGTACGCCCTCACGCTGTTAGTCAGCTGCACTATGGAACCGAGACACATGGCTGGCAGCAACTGCAGGTAAGCAGATGAAAAGAGCAGCATTTTAAATGCATGACTTGAGTTGTAAAATAGCCCATCTTCATCTCTCTGTTAACCGCAAAATTGTCTTAATTGCTTGACCTGATTAAACTGTCTAAGAGTATTTGCAGAGACATTATCAAAGAGAGGTACAGTATTCAGAGAATCCTGAATTCAAATCTGTGGGAGGATTCTGCAGCAGCAAAGATGATGGTAAAAGTTTAACTTCCAGGGGGAAAGAAAGTTTAAAAAAAACAAAAAACTTTTCACTTTTTAAAATCAGGTTTTACGTCCCGTGGAGCATTGAAATGAAAGTTAAGATAATCTTTCAGCATGACTTCCAAAATAAGTGCCCAGGTGTCAGGGCTCTGCGACCCAGCATTTTGAGTTTGTTTTGTATTTTTGACTTCTTATGAGGTATTAGAGAAATGTTAAGTTCTAGTGTTTATAAAGTAGTTAGGTTTTAGTCTAGTTAATGTTATCACCCATGCTTCCTTTTTTAGGTGTCATTTCCTGTTCCTTCCTATGAAGGGCGGGTAGACCGGTAGTGAGCGGCTGTGAAATTGGACGGTCTAGCCTTCAGTTTTGCGTCACCGCTGTCTCGGTGGAGTTTAATAAACTATGGAAAGACTGCGGGGGCTGGCTGGGCTGCGCAATGAATCCTGGGATAGGTTGGGCCACGAAGGACACACCCGACCCATCCTTCAAATTCGGGAAAAAGGAGGACGCATTTGTCGGCTGCATTCGGAGGAGTCTGCGAATTTGGACAGCCTTCATCGCATCGCTGTGACATAATCAGCCTACAAATGCGGCCTCAGGAGGATGCAGCCCATGAATTTGGACACCCCCATTGTAAAACTTTTAGTTATGTCCGTGCCCTCGTATGCCCTTGTGTTTCATGTCTGCATGTTTCATGTCCTATTGTCAAGCTCGTGTTGTCACAGTCTACGTCTCATCATGCTTCCTGTTTTATTTTGACAGTCTCTTGTTCCGTGTTCAGTGTGTTTGGATTTGCTTCCCGTGTGGCGTCGTATTCATTTGTGTCAGCTGTGTTCCCCAGGCGTTTCCACTTCCCTCATTATGCTTCTGTGTATTTGAGTCCTCTGTCTCCCTTTGTTCATTGCTGGGTTGTCTGTTCATCTCACCTCATGCTACATGGATGTTTCTCTAGTCTTAGTTATCTCAGGTTCTGGTCATGTTCATGTTAGATTTATGATTATCGTTAGAATTCCATGTCCTGCGTTAGTTTTTCCCAGTTTTCTCAGTTTATCATTTAGTTTCTCACCCCTGCGCTTTTGTTTTGTGGTAGTTATCAGCCTAAATGAACGGCTCGCTTTTTGTTAAACTTTAGTCCTGTCCCTTGTGTATCTACTTTCGGGTCCACTCCTCAAACACACCAGCCATCCGGCAGCAGTGATGAGAATAACAGTGTTACAAGTAGCGGCGTTACTAACAGCGTTTCTTTTTTCAGTAATGAGTAATCTAACTAATTATTATTTCTATCATTACAACGCCGTAACTGTTACTAACAAGAAAATGCGGTCGCGTTTATATTTTTCAACAGACGGTTGAAGCTGTGTTCAGCTTACCGCATCTTATATCAGTTGCTGTCTATGTAAGCAATCTGCGCGCTCCCGTGGACGGCAATCACTTTCTTGTAGACGATCACTTTTTGGCACAACACCAGGAGCAAAGGGGGCAAAACAATTGCATGAGTGCTGCTGTTTGACTGAGGAAGAATAAAGTAGTCATGGTAAGCCAATCACACGACCACTTTAAGATGACAAAGCAACAAGGTGATATATACCAGTTTTTAAATTGTGTTGATAGGCCACGTAAAACCAGAGTCATGATAAACAATATGTACGCGGCGTTTTTTCCTCAATAGTTTCGTCACGTTTACTGTCTAAGGACAGCGCAGCGAGCACTCTCTGCTTATGAGCAAAAAATAAAAAACAAAACAAAAAACAGCCCGTTCATGTTGGTGGAAAAATGCACCATGTCGACCAATCAAAAAATAATATGGCAACATGACATTTGGTTGTTTAGGAAGAGGTGGAAGTTTTAGGAGAGAGAGAGAGAGAGAAAGGCAGCAGAAAAAGAGAGAGAGCGAGTTTTAAGATGTGAGAGATTTGTGACGTTTAGCGTGTTTGGAGTGTGTAGTTAATGTGTTGTCTTGTGTAGTTAGTGTGTAGTGTTGTGGATAGTTTTGTGTTGTGTGTCAGAACAATGAGGCGACTGCTGTCTCCAGGTGAAAAACAGGAGGAGTGATACACCTGCTGCTGTCAGGCCTGCAGGTATCAGGCTGTGATGTTCTCCTTTATAGTGGACAGAAATTATTTTTTTGGAGTGGCACAAATAATTTGTGTGGCATCTTACTGAATGCAGAACAGCTGATTGTTCTGTAAATAGTTTGAAATGGTTACTTTAAAAAGGGTAAAAGGCTTCAAATAACTTTGCTGTTTGCAAAACTTGTGCATAGGATTTTAAAATTGACCATTTATATTTGCATTTAAAGTTATGAAATATGATTCAATAAACATGTTTGTGGTTGTTAAAATGTAACTTTTTCTACTCGGATTTTATGTTTTTTGTCTGATTTTAGATCAATTGTGTTAATACAGTCAAAATGAAAACATAACTGTAAATTCAGACACGTGAGGTTGTGCTGAAAATAATGATACCAAACAAGGCAAAGTAAAGAGTTTTTAAAGGTGAAATGTGGAGGGAACATCAAAAGTAGTTAAAATGGCCAATTATACCCTGGAGCCCAGAGGGTTAAACATTTTTTTTTTTTTTAAGAAACACAATAGTTACTTTTTAAGTAATTAATTACTTTTAGAATCTTGTAACTCAGTTACTTTTTTGAAGAAGTAACTAGTAACTATAATTAATTACTTTTTCAAAGTAACTTGCCCAACACTGTCCGGCAGTGACACCAGGAGTATTTCAAGAAGCCAACCAAGCGGCGAGATTTGGTATAATTTAACTTGATTAACTCCAACTGATTAACTTAACTGATCAATAAATGCAATTAGCTGTTCAAAGAAGATCTGAATATACTTTAAATCACATGAAATGAGATCAGGTACACCACCAATTAATTCGGCTCCAATTGCCCACCCATACCTGGGAGAGAAGGTACGCGCCTTCCAGTATTGCCATGTCAAAGCCCATCCCTCTGTTTGAGACTTGTGTGGAGTCTGCTTCAGCTCTATCACCTCCAGCCACCAAAAGTGATAGATGTGGCGACTCAACAGAGGGCTCTGCCACATGAGGTATCAGCCCCACAGCTTGGTGCTTAGCAGGTGGACCACATGAGGGAACAGGCTTAGCAAGTGTTGGGTCATTACTTTCAGTCCGCTCAAGAGGTCTGGGTCTGGATGACTTGAAGAAAATCTTAAAGAGAAAAAGTTACCAATTACATTCACTGTCATCACTAAACAATATCATCTGATGTAAGGGAGACTTGCTATGTTTCGTGATTTTACTTGGTATATGTATGTGTCTACTAATCAGAGCATAAGTCATTTAATAGTCTGAATATCAAAGTAAACTTGAGCAAGATACTAAATCCTGGGTTGCCCCTGATGCATCCATCAGAGTAGTGTGTGTGTGACTGTTAGATTACCAGCACTTAGGCACAGGAAATGGTGCTTGTATGAATGCATGTGAAAATGGGTGAATGGGGCTAGTAGTAAGACAGCACTTTGAGTAGAAAACCACTATATAAATACTAGTCCATTTACCATTCTAGCAATGTCCAGCCTGCCAGATTTAATGACTGAATAATTGACCAGAATGAACAGTGTGATTAAAGGCTGCGAAAACCAATCAACAGCTGAAGGTGGGTTGCTGAGGACCGATTGCTGGCTCCAATTTGAAGCTATAAAGAAGAAAATGCTTTAAAACAGTTTTTGATGTGTCACTTCCTTTGTAATAATTTGGAAAACAATTATTTATAATTGTATATTAATTGCAATTAAATAAATAATATAAATTATGGTGATTAGCCAGTTGTGATTTACATCCAGTAGTAACAGAAAGTTGGTGGTGAGGAATCGTTAACAGCAGGCAGGTAGCTTGTCTCATGCTAACTGTTAGCTGCTAACTTGACTTGCCTTGTGGTTTCTTAGTTGTTGTAACAATGGTAATTATGCCCCAAAGATGCCTGACCCCAAAAAGGTCAGGCATATACACCCATCAAGTGCTGAAGCAGCATCCACAACAAGTTCCTGTGATGCCATGCTATACAGTAAAAAGACAATATACCCTCTGTCAGTTCTACCGTTTAAGATTTAAAAGGATGCATTTTCTTTTCACCATGACTGTAAGTGGTTTAATTCTCAAAGGGAAATGCATGCAATGGTAAATTTAACAGAGCTGTTACGAGCTAAATGTAAGCTTTAATTATAAATGGCAGCCAAGCACCGAATGTAAAATTCTGGATCAGTGCTGATGTTAAAAAGAACAACCTGACTGACAGCAGATATTCATATTCTTTCTTTTGATTTTGTTGCTTCTTATTTCCAACAGATAAATATTAATAGATTTTTTGTATCCTTTTCCTCACAAACACTGGACTTCCTGAATATTCATTCTTCATTCTTGCAGATTTCCCACTATATCACACACAAGGCTGCACACTGTGTAAGTAAGAACTAACCTTTCTGTCTGAGTGATAGAGACACAGCAGTGTGTATGGCAGCACCTGCAGGACACAGAGCGTGTACCCCGTCACAGCAGCCATGACAGTGACCATCATCACACTGTCTGTGACACTCATGACGGTGGTGGCCAACAGCAGAAGAGCCACCCCACTAGTGTATACCACTTTGGCTCCCAGCAGAGCCACCCAGCGGTCCATTAGCGTAGAGCACAGCACCGACACTGCACACTGCAGGAAGAGAGCCAGACTGGCCATGCGCACACCTGGACAAGAATCAAGTGGTCTTAATGCAAAACATAATCTCACTGACTGACTTCAATGGTTGGAAGAACTTACCCTACCTTCATCATAGTGTTTCCTTTCCTGTGATTCTGGATCTGCACCCGGCACTCCCTGGTACAATCCCTCCCCCATAAAGTCAGCGAAGAAGAGCATGACACTCATCAGTGCCATCCAACTACACACCTCTGCCACAAAAAGTCTCCATATGACCTGTGGCACATGTATGCACACCGCATACAAATGATGCAGCATTGAAAGAGCCTCTGATGCACGTCGACACAGCACATCACGTAAACAACGAGGCCGAAGTAGGAAGGGGAACGGGCAGCATCTGCTCCCCAAACTTTTTAAAGGGGGATGAACAAGAATCTTCCTCTCTCCTCTGACTCCTGCTTCCTCCTTGATGCAGGTTGTGGAGAGGAGGCAGCCAAAAAATAGGAGGGTGAGCAGGGTGTAAACAAAGGCCTCTTGCCCTCCCAAATATACTGCTATGGGCACCTGGCTCCAGTCCACGGAAGGAAGCAAAAACCTGGAAAAAATACATTTTAAATGTTGCAATATTAGGTCTTTTAGGTCTGTTCACTTACTTGGATGCTGTGACTGTATTGTGCCTGTTGGAGAATTTTTTTTTATCTTACTATTAATACAGCTGTACCATAGGTACAACAGCTAATATAATGATGTGTCTTTGTCCTGTCTTTCTCCCCTCACCCCAACTGGTTGCAGCAGATGGCTGCCCGTCCCTGAATCTGCTTCTGCTGGAGGTTTCTTCCTGTTAAAAGGGAGTTTTTCCTTTCCACTTTCTCGCCAAAGTGCTCACTTATCGGGTTCATCTGAGTTTTAGGGTTTTCTCTGTATTATGGTAGGGTCTTACCTTACAATATAAAGCACCTTGAGGTAACTTGGCACTGTATAAATATAACTGAACTGAAATGAAGTATGAGACACAACCAGTTAGGAAGAAAAGATAATAAGTGGCTTACCCCAAGCATCCCCCCAGGCTTGTCATCAGGGAATTAACTGAGAATGCTTTTCGGTTTTCTTCCTCCCCGGGGAACAGATCTGACAGCAGGGCAAGCAGTAGGGTGAGACAGGCCTGAGGAGAAACCTGAGCGTTAGCTGACACATGTAATTATGATACTCAACCAAAGACTTATTCTTTCAGAGATAAAAAATAATAATAATACAAGCGTGTAATTGCCAAAGTTATTAAGTGAACCAGGAAGGTCTAGATTTGATTTTAGGGGTACAAAAACTCACTCATAACTACATTAACTACAAATTTAGCCTCGGGACAGAGAATCTCATACAGTAAATTGATTAATTTAGCAATAAAATATTCTATCTTCTATATCTTCTTCTGACTGTACTGTATTTGCTGGATGACGTAGATTAGGTGTGAATGTGTTATTGTACATGTTTGTGTGCCTACGTGTATGTGATGGCTGGAATGAAGAAAAACGAGTATTTCAGCATTCTGAAATACTCGTATTTTTTGTGCAGTTGAAAACAGACATTCTGAGGCTACGTCCACACTTACCCGGGTCCACATGTAAACGGCGTTTTCGGTCACTGAAAACGGAGATTTTTAAAAACTCCGGCCAGGGTGGATATTTCTGAAAACTCCGTTTTTGCATTTACGTGTGGACGAGAAAAACGGAGAAAACGCAGCATCAAAGGTGTGCGCCTTTTTTGACGTCACACTGTGCGCCACGTTATTGTTTTGGTGAAACTACAATACTGTTACTGTTAACTGTACTCTCTGCAGTGTTTAAATGCTTACATATACACACACAGTTACTGTCTGTCCACACATATGACTCGGTTCTGCTTCTATGCCCCAGCTTTGTTTATTTTTTCCCACCGAGGCTTCTAGACTTCTGATTGGCCAACATTTCTGCACGGTTAGGAATCTAGCGCCACCTGCTGCTTTGGCATGTTCATAGCAGCGTTTTCCTTCATTTCTGCGTTTACATGTGGACGGGATTATTTTTTAAAACGAAAACAGAAAATCTCCGTTTTCAAAAATACCCGTGTACGTGTGGACATAGCCTCAGGGTGCAGATATTAATAATGTCCAGCCTAACAGCCCCAGGTTAGTGGCTCAGAGTTTTACTGCTCCATGAGCATTTTTATTGGCCTGTGGGAAAAAGCTAATATTTTCTTTTTTTCTTTTTTTAAAAATACTAATATAATTTTATGAATATATTTCATGTTATTTCACTTTAAATCTGAAAAACAATGTTATGAAAGTGTTGAAATAGTGTATGATCTAGCACCCATGCCCCACTTTAGATTCGCCCCTGCTTGCTGCAGGTATCAAAGGATGGCTGCTGCCAACCTGATTTAAACATGGTTTAAGTTAACCTCTTAAGCCCCAACGCCCCCTGATACTGGGGCAAAAGGCAGGAGATCAGGTAGGCTTGGGGCTTAAGAGGTTAACAGTCCATCTACATATTTTATTACAACAGCTGTAGCTTCCCTTTTCAGTGTAAAACAAACAGCGGTGGATTGAGCAGCTACAAAGTTTACTTTTCTTCACGTCAGTGCTTGTTAAACAGGTGCCTTGATGAAGGACTGCCGCTAGCTTTTTCCCAGTAAAGGTTTTAATGGTGATTACAGGAACAAGCACTGCTGCTTTAAACAATATAAAAACATTTTCTTTCTCTACCCCTTAGCTCCCTGACTTGCTAATGGCTCCACCTCTTTGCTCTTCGTGGGGTGAGTGTGTAAACAGACTCCAGATCCACGAAGCATCGAAGCAAAGAACTGATGTCAAGGATTTAAAAAAAAAGGACACGAGACTGTGCTCTATCCATGTTGGTTACCACTGGACCCCTGGAAGAGATCCCTGTTAATCCCTCATCTAGTTCCCAAGAAGCACGAGAATAAGAATTAATAGTATAACTGAGTATATAATTTTTATTTTTGTACAACTTTACTTGTAAAGTTTACTCACCTGTGCGCAGAACTCGACAAGGCACACAGCTGCAGCCTGCATGCCGGCTTGCACCCAGTGAGGGTGCTGTGGTGAAATCAGTAGAGTCAGCCGCCTGGCTTGGGGAATTATTTGCAGGCCTAGCAAAACTCCCAGGCTCAGGATCCAGATAAAGGGCGTGCGTCGACCGAAGCGCCCTCTCCAAGAATCACTAGCTGAGCCGATCATGGGTATAAAGATCAAGCCCAAAACTGGAGTCACAGCTGGTAAAAAGAAAGACCCTGTTAACCTTCTTAGTGGTCTTTAAAGCTCAATCATTTACCAGGGAAGTATCAGATGGGATCTAGTCATTATTTTTTATGGAATAATGCACTTAAACTTCTGTTGTAGTCGTACTTTATCTGCACTGACGACATTACAGTTACCAACAGTCTGGGAAAGGTTTACAGCCCGCCCAGTGACAGTTAGCTAGCAAGAAAGACATTATTTACATTTTTCCGCTTAACTTAGGACTTAGGTGTATCCATTTGTTAGCTTAATAAATATTAGCTTTCTGCTATCTTGCTAATGAATAGCCACAGTACTCGGGGTTCTCCAGTGTTATTGCTTTTCTTGTTTTTGATCAAACTGCATGCTGTCAGTTTTAAAACCAGAGACAACCATTATTATCAGGCAACCAATATGGCAGCTGTGAAAAACCTCAATGTAAGGCTTAAAAACAAGACTTGACAAAGCAACAAGTGATGTCACAGTTGCTACGCCCATCTTTGATTCTGTCCATGGATCAAAGTCGTTATTGAAACTAAGCTACCTAAGATCCGCTAGTTTTAAAAACATATGAAAACTATTGATAATGAAAAATCATTATATAATGACAAAACTAAATGAAGCTATTTGAATACATTTCCTAGTTAGGAGTTGTAGACATGCACTGTCAGCACTGGTGCTTCAAACTACAAACAGATGTTTCAAACACACAAACAGAACATCTATAAAATTGTAATGTTCATATGATTTTTTTCCCCCTCCACTTACCAAGCATCATAGTCATGTAGCGTTCCTCCATGCCGGCCTGCAGCAGTAGAGGTGGGATGTAGACAGTCCCGGCAGCCATGCACACCTCCAGGCCACATGATAAAGTGTTCACCAGCAACAACTTCCACATCTGACACTGAAACCACTTTTTCACAACCATCTTGGCTCTTCAATTTTTTATTTAGTGGCTTATTTGAATGTACAAATGTCTTTAGTCCTGATATGAAATATTAAGTTAATGTAAAGACAACTATTAAACAAAAGGGTTTCCCAGAGGGGTGTTGGCTGGTCATCAGTTTTGGACAGCTTCCTTGTCATGATGTGCTTTGTGAATGAAGCGGTCATCAGAGAACAGCAAAGACAACTTTCTTAAGTTTCCTTTTTATTTGAGGTTCCATTAGCGCCCCAGCAGAGGCCGGCATCTTCACCTGCCAGTGTGGTGTCTTCCTGCATAATTCAAAGAAAGCACAGCAAAGCCTGAAAAAATCGTTGTAAAATCTGGAAAAAGATTACCTTCTATATCTAAATGTGAAATGGGGAAAAGTCATTTTGTTCAATCTATTAGCAAAACCTCAACTCCCATTTTAGCCATTCACCAACTCACATCAATCTACTGAGTCATTTTCTGTTGGGCAGACCATCACTGTGAACTAAAACTAAACTTAGAATTAAAGAAACACTGAAGAAAAAGTACATAAAAACTAGACTTTTGAACAAGATGGAAACTGACTGAAACAATACTGTGCATCAAGGTATTTATAGATAACTAAAAACTAAAACTACACATGAAAAACTTTTTAATTAACTAAAAAAAAAAAAAAAAGACTTAAAAAAACCTCTAACTCTAAAAACTAATAGGAACAATTTTGTGAATTTCGAAAACGGAGTAAAATAAAAACATGGAGGTGACATGCTTAGTTTTACTACCTGTGTGTATCTGTATGTTAAAAAATGTAATACAACTTGTTTTTTTCTGTCACGCACATTAATAAAGGATATTTGTCGTTTTAATGAGAAATCTTGTGCTTAGTGGCAATTAAAAGGATTTTAACTGGTTCAGTATTTATTCCTGATAGATCTTTCTGACTTCCTTTCATTTTTTAGGAAGTATCATCACTGCTTAGAAATCTATAAACATTGCCATAAATGTGGTTTCAGTGTGTTTCTTGCTGTCTAGTGTCATTTACACTATTATCTATAGATTTCAGTGAAGGTGTAAACATGACTGTAAAATCCTCTGGTTTTGAGGACTTTTGAGGCTATAGTCTGAGCTCGTCCTATCCATAAGTGACATGTCCCTTCCCACACACCTTAGAAGCGCTTTGTTGTTTCTTAGGAAAATGAATAGTACCTTTAGGCGTTAGACGTAGAGAGGTATAGAATGTAAGGTGTGTCAGGGATATAGATGATTATTATGGTTTTAAGTGTTGCTATAAGTACACAGAGCCTTATGGCTCTTTGAATTCTCACAATGTTAAAAATCCTGAGAATGAACGACAAAGAAAACTGCATAATTTGTTAATATGTAACAGTCTGTTTCTTTGTGGTATGTATGCCTCCTGCTTACTGTAAGCTATTGCACATAATTCATTCATTTCCTAATGATTTCATCTGGCACACTGTGTGCGTGCATGTGTGTTATTCACTCACTTGTTAAACCAGAAGCTCCTCTTTCTCTGAGACACACTCTAAAACTTTAAGCAATAAACCACTAGCATTTTTATTTCCACTTGCCTCATCAAAGTCCTTTGATCTCTCTTCAAGCAGCAAAAGTTGTTTGAAAAGCCAGCAGTGGCTACTGGTTTTCTTCCTTTAAAGTTCAGTAGCCTGTGGTGTATACAGCTGTGTATGTGCCGCAAATGACAACAAAGGTGGGATTATTACTCACGTCACGCTTTCTGTTAAGGATGTGGGCGGGATTACAGGTAGTGCTGACATTCCTATGTTGGGTTTGTTTTTACATATGTGTTCATATGATTTGCTCAGCTACTGTTGATTTGTAAAGGCTGACACTTGTTGGGGCTACATTTGGAACAACTGAAAAATGTGTTCATTGAATTATTTTTTTAACTATTACTAACTTACTTTGAAACTCAGCACTCAGTAATCTATAGTGCATTTTCTTTTGTCACTTCCTGTAACTGTAGCGTAAGCCCGATGCAAATTATTGCATTATGCTCTGATTGGTTCAACAGTAAATATGAATAAATAAAACGGTCATTGTTTTTCGTGCTAGCCAATCAATCCAAACTCCTTATTTTTATGTCTGTGTTTTATATTTATTTCTCTGTCATCACATCTTCCTCTTGGGTTAAGAGTTTTGGTTTCATCCTCGACAGCACTCTCTCCTTAAAGGCACACAGAAATAATATCACAGGGTCTTCTTATTTTAATCTTGGTAACTTTAACCGCCTTCGCCTTTCACTCACTCCAAACAGTACCACCATACCTGTCGCTGCTCTTGTCACATCTTGTTTTGGATTGCTGTAATTCTCTTCTCTATGGTAAATCATCCATAAACTGCAGTTAGTTCAAAATATTGATATTATATCCAGAATTGGATCCACTGAAGAAATAACACCTGCTCTTAAACAGCTCCATTGGCTTCCAGCTCACCTAAGAGTGAATTTCCTACTTCTTACTTTCAAAGTGCTTCATAACCTCGCTCCTCCATATTTATCTGATCTTCTCCATGCGTACCCTCCCTGCTCTTCTTCAGCTTCCCTTCTGTCTGTTACACCTGCTTGCCTCACTACCATGGGGCTCAGAGCCTTTAGCTTGAGCATCGAGTCCTTGGAATGCACTTCCACCAGATCTGCCAACTACAAACTCTCTGCTTTAAAATTACATCTTAAAACCGATCTATTCAGAATTGCATACCCTTTATTATGACTTGGTCTTATTGTGTTTTTTACCTCGATTAACTTTTATAGTTGTTTTTTATTTGTTTAACTTATGTTTTTATTTTGTTGTACTAATGTAAGTTGACCATGAAATTCTTTAAAGGTGCCTATAAATAGAATGTATTATTATTAGTAGTAGTAATTATTTATGCGTAAATGGCATATCCCTTCTTCATGTTGGCACACACCTTAGCAACAGTTTCTTGATTCTTAGGAAAATGAGCAGTACCTTTGGGCTAGCAACAGTTCTTCATGCTAGTCGTGAAATGATGTCATACAGCCGAACAGGAAAATGCTAATAATGGCTGCTCTACAGAAGTGCCATTGGTATACTGCAGAGGTGGAAATGTTGGAGGTAATTGTGTTATACTTGTTCAATATAACAAAATATTATTTTAGCGGGGTACACCCTGCGACAGACTGGCGACCTGTCCAGGGT